GAACTCAGCACAGGGAGACATAGGAAATCAGGAGACTCTGGCAGCTGAGCTGTTTCGGATCTTTGGCTGGAACAGGAGTTATCAAGAAGAGTGCTTTTTCTGACGGTTCAACTCTATGTCTCCCCAGTTCCTCCTGAAGCTGCTACCCACACAGCGCAAGGGCTGGCAGCGCTGTTGGCAGCAGCTCGCTCGCTCGCTGACTGGTCTGCTCAGCACAGTCCCTGGAAGGCACTTTGTCAGGCAGAGCCTATGCAGTTGGGCCACTCGAACCAGTACCTGTAGGTACTGAACACCCAAGGCTTAGTCAAATCCATACCCACAAGGCCCATGGCCAGGCTCCGCCCACCTCAGACCGGAAATGGAGATGGTCACCTTGGAGGACTCATATTTCAGCACAGCCCATTACTTGAACTGGATCAAGAAATAAGAAGGTAAAATGTGAAGTGCGTGGATTTAATAACAATAAACAGGCTGGCAAGATAGGAATCAGGATTATTTGCACTGCTGGGAAGAATTTGAAACATTATAACTTGGCTTAGGGATGTAGCTCAGTGCTAGAACATTTGCTGGTATGTGCTTGGGTTCAACTCTGGCATTTAAAAAAATAACTTACAGTGTCTCCAGCGGGGAGTGACAGTTTGGCAATACATTAATTTGAAATGTCTTTAAAGTCAGAGTACACTCTAAATCATCCATCCTACTTCTAGGAATTTCTTCTATGGAAGTAAGACATACTCAAAGACCAAACTTGTTTACTTGTAATATTTTATATTAGTGAAAAACTGCACGTAAGCTAAATATTTGAAACAGAAGATTGGTCAAATAAACAGTATGGCCATATAACAAAATACTATGTAATCTTTGTAAATTATATGGAAATGTGTTTATAGGTTTAAAATGTTTCATGATACATACCTAGTTCAACAGGAACGCTGGTTGCAAGAGCACACCTAGAAAACTCTACCTGGAAGAGACACTGCAAAGAGACATGCGATGGAAATAAACATAGTCTTGTATCTGAATGGTTGAGTTTAAGAGCACTTTTTATTTTATTTATTTCATTTTCATTTTATTTGTTTCTCAGTGTTTTCTCATTTGTATACAATAAGTGTACATAATGTACATAATAACAAATAAAATACATTTTGCTTTTCCAGAGGTTGCCTGTGAGGTATTTGCCCAGAAGTGAGTTCAAATCCCAGTTAGACCACTGATGTGCAGAGTGACCCTTCAGACGGTGCTTCTGCCCAAGCCTGGGTTTCCTCATCTGCAAGACCAGGATAGTACTTTCCTCTCAAGGTGGTTGTTAAAGGGAAAAGCATAACAACCAAAGTGTGGCCGGAGCACACACTGAATAACGTTTTTTCCTTCCTTCCTACAAGTATAAAATCACTTCGGCGTAGGAGTTCACAAGTACAATGGTTGAAATGTAAAATGTTTGAAAAATCTGTAGAGGAGCTGAGTGAAGACAGAGCTCGGTAGTAGAGCACTACCTAGCATGCACAAGGCCCTAATTTCGATACCCAACAGTAAGAACACCAAACAGAGATTTGTGTTAAATACCCCTGTCTTAATAACTTTAGAGCAGGTCTTAACCTTACCCAACAGAGAGGCCAACACCCCCACCATGAGTCAGGTTTAAAACACCAGTTGTGTTACCCAACCCCACCAGTAGGTGGGGCCGGTCTCTACCCCGTGCCTACACAGCCAGTCACACCAGCTCATTAGACACTGGACACTTGAGTATCACTGTCAGGAACACACCCCATCAGAAATTATTACAAACATCCAGGGCTCTCCTCTCTCCTCCCCACACACTCCTCCCTCAAACCACTTCCTGCTGGCAGCTCCCCACACCTTTATCACCACTCCACTCTGGCTTAGAGACTCACTCTTCGGAATTAGACCTCCTCTTCCATAGTCTGATTCTCTATCTGCTGTGTCTTTCCCCGGCTTCTCATTCACTCACCCCACTTTTATGACTGCCTAGTAAACGTTAAGCACTGTGCTAGGAACCAGAGAGGAACCACACACAGGCCCTGCTCTGGCAGTCTCCCAGCCTGGAGGAAACAGGCCATCACATGATACTGCTGTGTTGTAATAATTATTACACTGTCATACCAATACAGGCTAGTTAGAGGCCAACAGCTGTTCTCAGCCCTTCAGAGATGCGCATCTCCATTTGGTCCTCCCAACCTATCTCATGAGCTAGAGTAAAGTCACTTCTGATTGACAAGAAGGTGAAGCGCAGAAACAGTAAGTGCTTTGTCTAAGCACAGGCTTTAAATAACCAAAACTGGTGTTGGAAGGACATGTTACACTCTGAGGAATAACCAGAAAGCCCGGTGTGGTGATGGACACCGGCAGTCCAAGCACTTAGGAGGTAGAGGCAAGACAACTGTAAGTTTAAGGCAAGTCTTAGGTATAGGGTGAGTTCAAAGCCAGCCCAGGCTGTATGAGGAGACTGTGACTCGAAACCGTGGGGCTAGAGAGATGGCTTAGTGGTTAAGAGCCCTGTGCTGCTCCTATAGAGGACCCGGGTTCGGTTCCCAGCATGTCTTCATGTCTTACTAAACCATCCTGAACACCAGTTCCAAAGGATCTGATGCCATCTTTCAGCTCTCATGGGTACCAGGCACACCCCAAGTACATACATGCAAGCAAAACAGTCACACACGTAAAATAAAGATAAGTATTCCTTAAGTGATTCTTCAAGATACTCAGGGGGTAACGGTGCTTATCACCCAGCCTCATGAGTTGAGTTTGTTCCCAGGGCCCACATAATAGGAGAGAACCAAGTCCTAGAGGTTGTCTTCTGACCTGCATATATGCTTTGTATGTATATACATACATGTAATAAAATTAAAAACAACAATGAAATGAAACTTGATGACTCCAAAGAGCCAAGACTCCAAGGATCATACCTAGTAATGTTTATTATATTATAAATTAGAATTTAGAAATGTTATGTGTATTTACTAAATTTTATGTAACTAATCTATTACATGTCAATCTAAATGATATTTATAAATTTAAAAGCTACATAAAAATTCTTGAAAAAAATTACATTGTCTCACATGTTTACAGATATCTTCAATGTCTGACTATTTTTTTTTCTTTTTCTTGTTTGTGCTACTACAGATTTGAACTCGGGGCCTTGCATATACTAAGTCAGTGCTCTACCACTGAGCTACATATATCCCCAGCCCTGGCTCTGACTAATTGGCAAGTGGAATAGACTCTTGTAGGAGTAACCAACCATCTTATTAAATAAGAAACACAGAACCAATGTAAAAGAGAAAGCCAAGAGGTCAGAGCTCAGAGCTAAAATCTCACCCTTCCTCCTGCCGTGGTTCCAGCTTCCCGAAAGAGAGCTATTTCCCTGTGTGTAAGTTTTTTCATAGTCATTCTGCCTTCTCATTGGTTGTAAACCCAAACACGTGACTGCCTCGTCACTGTCTGTATGTACAGCCCCCACCCCCAGGTCTTAAAGGCATATGTCTCCAATGCTGGCTGTATCCCTGAACACACAGAGATCTATGGGATTAAAAGCGTGTGCCACCACTGCCACACTCTGTCTATGACTCTAATAGCTCTGACCCCCGGGCAACTTTATTTATCAACATACAATCAAAATCACATTTCAGTACAATTAGAATACCACCACAGACTCTAGTATCTTATTTTCATTCTCTCTATTGGGATTTCTTATTTGCTTGTAGTATATGAAAAGGCTAGGCCTCACATAGAACTGGAGTTGGAAAGAGAGGGGTGATTGAACAGACTGCTTGTAATTGCAAATATGCCACTTGGATAGTCTACCAAAATGTGACAAGTGCTAGTTTCTTAAAGGCTTGCTGCAGAGTGGAATCTGAAACCGATGGCTGTGGTTTATATGTCTTTTCCAAACTTCATGTTGAAACTTAGCCTTCGTTGCCTTAGGATTAAGCAGTGAGGCCTTTAGAGGGGATTGATGGTCTTATAAAAGGACTAGAGGAAAACATCAGGGCCTGTTTTGGTCTTTTATGGTAACTTTCCATCACTACAGTGAAAAGTTTGCTATAAATAAATATTATGCAATAGGAAAAGGATTGCTGGGGCCCAGCATTTTGGAAGTTTTAGTTTATCATCTCAGGGTCCCACTGTCTTTAAGTCCGGGTTGAGGCAGTATTATCACGGTGGGGAGTGTGTGGCAGAGCAGAGGCAGCACCTCAACCAGGAAAAGAGGGGGCAAAGGGAGCTGTGCTCCTGCATCCTCTTCAGGGGCCCCTGGTGGCCGTAAGACCCCTTGCTAAGCCCCACCTCTTGACGGTAGGTACCACTTCCTCCAGTAGTGCCACAGGCTGGGAATCAAACCTTCAACACGTGGACCTTCAAAAGACTCTTAAGATCAAAACTGTATCACCCTTCTTCCTTCATAGTTTCTCTCTTTCTCTCTCTCTCTCTCTGGTGATCTGCCAACTACCCAAGGATAAATAAACACAGTGTGGCTCTAAGCTGTTCTGTCAAGGGAAAACGACACTCAGTTAAAGACGTAAAGTTCAGCTCCCACCTCAATCTCTCCAGTTTTTGTCCTCAAGACTGTAATTTTCTTCAGTAGTCAACAGACACTTTGTATGAAGTTGCCATTTTTTGTCACAGAAATCATTGTGGCAGTTCAGGGACTGAAAGGCTGTGATAACATTGTAACTGTCCCTGGAGGCAACATTTTCCTCCCGGTACATTTTTTGTAAAGATCTGTTTTAAATTATACGTACAATGAGTGTCTGCGTGTAGGTCTGTGCACAAGGGAGTACAGGTGCCCAAAGAGTTCAGTAGAGGGCATCAGATCACCTGGAACGGGAGTTACAGATGGTGGTGGCCCAACATAGTTTCTAGGAACAAAACTCAAGCTCTCTGGTAAAGCAAGAACACACCCTTAACCATCTTTCCAGGACAGCACCAAAGATTACACCACTATGTTTTAGTCTGAACCACTTTTGGTTGATTTTACATCACTTCAAATATCACCCCCCCCAAAAAAAAAAAGTGCAAATAGTGCTGCCTTAGGAGTTGTATAAATTGCTGATCAGTAATGGATTTATGGGAGTTTTCTGGGTCCCTCCAGGAACCACAGGCTATACTGTGAGAATGGCAATTCTATGTTATACTATGACCCAGTCTGAATCCAAAACATTTTGTATGAGCTGGTGACCTTGAACAATCCTTTGCCATACTTGTAGTCCCTGAATTCCAAGTCCCAGTTTTGATGGTTCACTAACAATCTCAGATCCACCAAACCAGACCAAACCTGGACTGATTAAGCCTCAGTTTATACCCCCACCCCCAGACATGGGTTGGGAAGGGGATGAGATTTGGCATGCAGAGCCCATGACTTGTACCAGGCAAGGCACTATCGGGTAACAGTTCTCATCATCTCTATTTGTCAGCAAGGAAACTGAGCCTGGGGAGGAGGGACTCCACATAGAGCTGTCCATCCTGAAAGCTCATGCGGCATGTCATCTTCCTGTCTCTTCCCACACTCCCTTCCTGCCTGTCTGACTTTCCTCCTCCCAACACTCCAGTTGCTGAGGTTCTAGCATGCCTCACCGCCAAAATTTCCTGAAATGAGAAAATTCCCAGCACTGACTGGCCGCTTGAATCTTCCAGTGTCTGAGTTGCTAATGGTCACAAATCACTCAGACTTTGGAAACTCTGAGCCACGTCAGTCCTTGGCACACATAATTGATAAAAGTGACAAGCTTTGCTTCTGCTGTTGTGCATAGTTTTGGTGACTAGGTCGCACAGGCTTTCCTCTGGGACACATTTCCAGCTGAGCTGTAAGGTGGTCATCTCTGTCTGGGCTATAAAGAGAGGTCGAAATCCTCTGGACCCCGAGTCTTCCCTTGAAGAGCTGAAGTCACATGGCAATGTGGCAGGATACCAGCAGGATGAGAATCACATCCTAAGACTCAGTTTCAGGAAAGTACAGCCCAAAATAAATCTGAAGACAAAGTAAATAAAGCATTAGGAATATTCTGGGAGAGCAATCCCACAATGCTACAAAAAAAAGGGGGGCAGGAAGAGGGGTAGGGTAGGATTGTTCACAGTCTTTGTTGTGTGGTTCTGTCTTCTGATACAACTTGTTAAGTGCTGGTTGTGTATCTGATATTTGTAAAGGCAGGAATGAGCCGTGTTTAGGAAAATTACACTGTTTCTTCTGAGGGAAGGGAGTCCTTTAAGCACTGGTTTGAGATAGGGCAGAGAGCTTGATGGGAACGCAAGGCTACGATGATTAAAGCAGGATGGAAGGAGCATGTAATTTGTGCCGAGGGACCTAGAGAGGATCAGTGGAGGAGAACTCCACTGAGTCACACTGAGTCTGCTGGGTAGCCTTGCCTCCACAGAGCTGGAGGGGAGATTGGAATCTTGATCATCTCACGGGATGAAAGAAGATGCTGCTGGAGAAAGTGGCAAAGTGAAGGACTGGATATGTGGCTGAAGGGCAGGGCGCGTGCTTAGCTGGTGCACAACTCTGGGTTCGACTGCCAAAATAAACAAAAACAAAAAACAAGGTTGGAAGGAGATAATACTCCAACATGAAGTGCTATCTCAATGGGCACTTGTGAGCAAATCAAGCAGACCTATCGTGACTAATGCAATCCTGCATTCCTCATTCATCCAACCAAAATGTAATTAATGTCTATTACCCCCCAGCTAAGTACTGAGACGACTACAGTGATAAGAAACTGGCTGTTCCCTTAGGATGCTTTCCAGTTAGTGGGAGACATAACGATAAAATAAAGCTATTCAACAGTCTGTTGGGGGAAGAGGTTCCGAGAAAGGCTTCCGCATAACAGTGAAAATGGATCTTAGTAGGGCCAGTGAGATGGTTCAGTGGGTTAAGGCACTTGCTGCCTTGCCTACCAACCTGAGTTTGATCTCTGGGATACATACGATGGCAGCAGAGAACCAATTCCTGCAAGTTGTCCTCTAACCTTCACATGAGAGCCACAGCTCGATGCACATATGCTCCACGCTAAACAAATACATAAACACATGCATTAAGATGCTGAAAGAAAAAACAGGAAATTAACCTTATTAAAATCCCAGAGAGACAGTGGCTGGGATTTTGACAGATGGAGATAGATGTTGACTATAACTCCAGCAATTTATTTCAGTTTACATTTTATCACTTAACTTAAATTCTTCAGAATTTAATCCCAGCACTTGGGAGGCAGAGGCAGGTGGAGCTTTATGAGTTCAATGCCAGCCTGGTCTACAGAGCGAATGCTAGGCTATCCAGGGCTACACAGTGAGACAAGACAAATCAAAACAAAAAGTAAACACTTCAGAGCAGGTAAAACTTGTATGGCCTTGATTTTAAGTGTGAGAAGCAGTAGCTTCTAGGAACTGACTTAGACAAGCAATTTGAAGTAATGGTGGAAATCTGCTTGGCACAGTTTTTAGGTTCAGATACAGACCTGGCTTTGAATTCTGCCTTTGCCACTTGGGCAAGTTACTTTAAGATCTCAGGGTCAGCTGTATGCATGAAAACTCAACAATATGGCTACCCAAACAAATCCTGAATAATGACAATACCAGTTAACTTGCCAGCTGTGACGGGGGAAGCCTCACAAGGCCTCAACCCTAGATGAAGCACTACAGGCAATCAATGGCTGCTGAGAGAACAGGCTCTCTTCAGAGACAAGCTCACCGCAGGCTATCCAGTCCCAAGTGGTCCGCCCTATGTACATTTACATAACAGCAACACTAAACAGATTCAGCAGGTTGAATCTTGTGTACATATGTATGTGTGTATATCTAAAGAAGATGTCAGGAACTTGAGAGTGAGTTGAGGCAGAGGAGTTGGAAAGGGGAGAGAGATGGATGTAAATGATGTAAATACAGTACTCAAGTATAAAGTTCTCAAAAAAAAAAAAAAATCTTACCTTAAGGATAAGGAGAGGTTATAACAGAGAATGAAGCTATCAAAGCACCTGACAGAGAACATCTTCTTTCTCTGAGATCAAGCAGGGCATCTCTTTTCTTTCAATTCCCCCAATGTGGACTTCTCTGCATCCCCGAAGCCTTCATCCCAGCTGCTGCCTTGTCTCACTTCTGTTATGGGAGGACTCTGGAGGTTCAGCTCTGCTCCAGTCCAGTCTTTCTGTAACAACTAAAATTGCTTCGAAACCCACAGGGACTCTTGCTTCTGTCCTGCTCCAGCCCCTTGCTTGGCTCCCTCATCTTCACATGCATCTGAGTGGCTTCAGAGTCTTGAATATCCAGCCTGCTGATGCCTGTCAACCGATCCTGCTCCTGCTGCTCCCAGATTCCATGTTTGCCTCTGGGTCTTGGAAGGACCTTCTTCGACCTAGGGTACCACATCACTGTTGACCATACGTTTCCCTTGCAGGCTAATGCCTCTCCCTCCTGATGCCTTCCAGACATGATTGCCTTCCCTTCCTCACCACAAACAACCAGATTCAGTGCCCCGATCCGTGCTCTCATGACCCGCTCCTTGCATTTCCTCCATGCAGCACATACTATTACCTTCTACCTCTAATTATCCATCCCAAAGTGGAAACCTTTAGGAGTACAGAGGATAGCTTTTATCCATTGTCTGGTCTGTGTGAATGGATGCACAGCTGGGTCTGCTGGCACTTGCCTGTAATCCCAGCTGCACGGTGAGGCTGAGGCAGGAAGACAGCAAACTAAAGGCCAGTATAACTTAAGGAAACCTTGTTTCACAATACAAAGTGAAAAGAGGGATGAGGGTAGAGCTCAGTAATAGAGTGACTGCCTAACATGGTTCAATCCCCAGAATGAGAGAGAGGGGGAGGTGGGTGGGTGGATGAATGGATTAACGAATGTTTCTCCAATCTTCCAACTAGTGAATGTAGAGACGAGATTACAACCTAAATCAAAGCAATGGTCAAACTCATAGACTCTCATCATCCTGGTTGAATGAAACCTAATTAAAACCTGAAGTAGAACAACCCTAGAAACCAGCCCTAGAACAAACTCCCCTTCCAGACCTTCCCACACACATCCTCTATGACATCTCTCTTTAATATGGACTCCCTTTGGGTCAGGAAATTATTTGTCTCTTGGGGACTGAAGGACTCCTTCTGTTGTCAAAACCATTATTGTTGGGGGAAAGTTGGCCCCTCTGACTCAGTTGACATCATTTTGTCATTACAGTGACAAGCAGGGGGGCTTTCCTGGGTCCAGGACTCTGGCAAGAACTGTTGCAGAGTGGGAAACACCTCAGTTCAACAGAAAGTTCCTGGAATTTTGAGCAAATGTGTGTGTGTGTGTGTTTTTCTTAGTCATTCAAATTCATTGAGCTAACCTTCATTCTTTCGTCAATATTTGTGAACTGAAAATACGACAAACTGTCCCCTGTACTGTTCAAAGTCTAGACATTGACCGATGGGACCAGAAACAAAATTTCCTGGGAACAAAAAAACACAGAGATTTCAAAACTGGCTGTAGAATGACGGGTTTCTGGTTTTGGAGAGCTCTGCCTGTGATGGGAAGAGTACTCTGTCAGCTGAGGAGAGATCTGCCACTTACCACCATGTGGCCCCAAGAGGTGGAGGAGCTTGAACGCCACAAGGAACAGTAACAATGCCTTGCGTTGAGGGTACATCTAATGGGCCCTCTCTAATCCAGAGCATGAAAAATTTCTACAACCAATTACCAGTTTTGAAAACCATCAACAGGGAAGTTGAAGGACTGCCACTGCTGATGAGGGACCAGCGTCAGGGATGGATGGGAATCCATCCCTCTTTGTTTTGTTACCCGGGACCCTTAACCCCACCCCAGGGCCCAGCCACTACTGCCTTTCCCTGAGTAACTAAAGATTGCTTGTCCTCTATAGCTGCGTCATCTAATCTTTCTCTACGGGCATATTCTTAAAATATGCAGGTCCAGTCATATCCATTTTTTTTTTTTTTTTACTTTCCTGCTTCCTCTCACTGATATTCATTCAGGTCTATCTCTACCCTTGCTCTGGAGGTGAGCCAAGTTCACAAAGTCCGTTCATGTCCTTGGCTCTGTTACAGGAACTGGAATTCAGGTTTTGCGTGCTTTTGGTCACTGAGATGAGTTTCGTGTGAGGAGAGGCCATCAGATGGGCCCCAGCTTGACTTTTCAGGTTGTCAGGATGATGTTCTTTCTCACTCACCCAATCATGTGAGTGAGAAATCATGGCTTCTGTGCCTGCTGGTACCTGTGTTGTGTGACCTGGAAGGAAACTGGGATGAGGAATGGAACGTGTCTGCCTGCAGGAGGGTTAGAGCAAGAGGATCCAAGACTCATGGCAGGAGCCCCAAGGGCACCACATCTGAAGCCTCCCCACCTTTCAATCTCATGGTTATAGGGAGCCCATAAACCCTCTTTACTGCACAAGCCAGCGTGGGCTAAGTTTGCTGTAACTCATCACAGGTCTCCTGGGTGACTCAAATGCCTCCTGGAGCTCTCGCAATGGCATCCAGATGCCTACCTTGCTATTAAATAGCCACTAAACTCTAAGATCAGTGAGTGCTCAGGGCCAGGGCTGGCTTTTCATTGGCCCTGGCAGTGCTAACTCCTGCTAACCATCACTCTAGCGCACAGCAGGCACTCGGAATTTTTGTTTTGAACAAGTGACCCAGATCTCCTTCTAGCATGTTATCTGTTTCCCCGGTCAGGGGAGTGGGGGCGGAGGTCCCCCTGCATCTTCTGCCAGATCCACTTCTACACGAGCTGTGTTTTGCTGGACACCAGTCTTCTTCTGCAGGCAACTTCCCATCCTCGCAGACACCATCGTCAGGGAAAGGCCAGCAGGTCTAAACACGAGGTTGTCTATGTCCAACAGAGTGCCTGACACCCGGGCTCCCAAGAAGGACAGTGGCCAGAAAGGCCCAAGGTGCAGAGCTTAATGAGCCCTCCCAGGTAGGAAGCCTGGAGAAGAAGTTGGAATTTTCCACATAACCAGAGGGGGCCTCCAAGCCACTGGGATTTGTGCCGTGAACAGGGAGAATCCCCATGTAGGTCAAAAGAACATTTCACTTCTGCTTATCTGCCCATATGCTCACTCATTACTGCCTTCAGATTCTCCCACAGCCCTTTCCTCTACCCGACCCCCAGTCACTGCAAAGTTTTCATGATTTTATTTCTTTTTCTCTGTGCCCCTCTCCAAAATATGAGCTCTCCAGGACAGCAGGATCTTTTTGCCAAGAATCCCATGGGGCCCGGAGAGAGCATGTACTGCCCTTGCAGAGGACCCGATTTGACAACTCCAACTCCAACTCCAGGCGATCCAAAATCCTCTTCTGACCTCAGTAGGCATTGCATTCATGTGTACACACACACACACACACACACACACACACACACACACACACACACGATACAGCCCACGTTTTGGGTGACTCAGTACCCTCTTTAGTAAAGGAACATTTAAATGCAACCTCAGCAGGCTTCCCTCTCTCATACAGACTCATTCCCCTCTCCCACAACCAACTTTCTGCTGCCGCCGCTGCATAGGGTTATTTCCTCCACTGTCCCTACCAAAACAAAAGGATCAAATGTATTTATTTGTGGTTGCTTGTTTGTTAGCAGAATGTAAAAACGCCGTTCCGTGTTCAGTCTCCAGGGCGACCACTTCCAAACCGTAGATGGGTGCCGGAGTAGGGAAGTGGGGATTGAATCCCCCAGGCTCTGGAAACAGTGGACTGTGAGGAAGATAACAGAAGGGAAGACATTTTTCTGACTTAGAAAGTTTGCCAGGTAAATGAGGTCTCATCAACAGGGGGAAAGCAGAGTTGATGGCGTTGAACGCTCTTCAGGGCCAGCTGTCTGGAGGAGTCCATTTCTGACCTTGGGTCCCTCGACCCCTTATTCAGTTCCTGCCTTTCTGAACCACGCAGCTTCCCCATGGCTCACCTGCATATTTTTGCAGTACCAACAGCTTCCCTGTCCAAATCAACTGGGTCTTTGAGAAGCCATCCCAGAACCTCCAGCTTTGTTTGTCTTCTCTATGCTTCAATTATGCAGTTTTAATGAGACCCCGGCAGCCAAGACCAGCCTGACATTTTAAAAGATTCCCGGTGCCTTTGTGCAGCAGCAGGCCTCTGGCCTCGTTCTCTCAATTATTACCTTAACCATGCCCCAGAGACCCAAGGAGACCGTTTATTTTGACTGGTAGATTGTTAAACTACAGGAGGGGAGCCAGAGCCAGCGCCAGGCTGTGATTTCCATCGCGCCACAGGCCAAAGTCGTGGTGCTGAGAATAGCCAAGGCCACTTCCTGCTGGAGAAGGAAATGGCAGTTTCCTCGACTCCCGGAAATGTGGCTTCCTCTCTGGTGCCTAGCTTAGTGTTCACCCATCAGACGGTCTCTTCCCACCCCAAGCCCCCGGGGACCTGGCTCCAGCGTGTAGAAGACATCCTGTTTCCCTGAGGAAGTGGCCCAGATTGGAGCAGCCACCAGGGCGTTCGAGTGGGTGTGAGTAGGTAGCATGGCAGGAAGGTGCTGACAAGGAATGATGCTAATAATGTTATCCAGGAAGAAGGAGCCCCACCCACCCCTTTGTCCTGACCCCAGAGATCTCAGCAAACCTGTCAAAAGTTCTCACCACCTTTGGAGGCCAAGTCCTCCCGATACCTCTTTTTGCTTTTTTCGTCCATACGTGCTAACTGTACATTTATACAGTGTGACTGTGCCTGTTTGATACATGTATGTCATATGTAATGATTGAGTCCAGGCAATTACCATCTCCTCCTTGAACAGGTACCATTTCTTTGTATTTGAAGCTTACAAATCCCTCTCTTCTGTATTTTTTAAACAAAATCTACCAGTACACTGTGTTGTAAACACTAGAAGTTATTCTTTCTATCTAACTAGACTTCCAGTACCCTGCGATCTCTTCTTTCAACAATGTTACTGTTCCTGTCTCTTCCCCCAGCCCCCCAATCCAAAAACTGGATTCCAGAATCTGGAAAGATGGCTCCACGGTTAAGAGTACATGTTGCTTGTTGCAAAAGACCCACATTTGGTTCCCAGCACTCACATGGTGGCTCACAACCAACTGTAGCTCCAATACCAGGGCATCCGATGCCCTCTTCTGGCCTCCATGGGTGTAAGACCCTCACGTGGTGCACGGACATACATGCAGGAAAAGCACTCATGAACATTAAAATCATTGATTAGTTATGTGGTTAAGGAAACTCAATCCATTTCTTATGCTCATTCTGTGCATTTCAGGAGTTAAGAATGCTGCCAGGCAGAAGGCCGATGCTATATCTCAGTGGTAGAGCACTGATCTAGCATGAACACGCCCTGGGTTCAAACTGAAAGGAGGAGGGAAAGGAAGAAGACTGAGAGGATGGGGGATGGGAGGATGGGGGGATGGGAAGGTGGAAGGATGGGGGATGGACTGAACCATATGAGTACATACTGTGAGTCAGGCATGGTGGTACATGTTTGCAATCCCAGCACTTGAGAGTCTCAGGAAGAAGGATCACAGTGAGTTGGAGGCCAGCCTGTGCTACACACTTTATGAGCTCACAGTCAGCCTGCTTACACAGCAAAAACTTGTCTTAAAATACCACCACACAAAAAGATATGGTGACATATGTGTGAAGTCCTCAGGACTCAGAAGACTAAGTAAGGGAGAAGAGTACAGGTTTGTGTCTACCTGGGCTGTATAGAGACCCTGCCTTTAAAAATGAAAAGTCAAGCCAACAAAAAAATGAAAGGGGAAATGCTGTCCACGTGTCTCATCACTGTCACGCTGACCTTGACACCTGGTTGAGGAAGTATTATGAGGCATTCTAACTGAAATGCCATGCTTGCTTGCTTTCTGTGCTATAGTCTGCAGGACAACGTCTCTATGCACAGTCCACATTACATTCCAGCTCCTTGAGGGCGGAAGACCTACTAATCGCTTGGAATTTGGTTGCAAGAAAATGTGAATAGATCCCCTTATTGGTTTATTCTGTCTATTATTGAATTACATCAATATAAACATAGGAGTAATTTTTGTATTTTGTATTATAATTCAGTGCTACTCTATTTTGTTGTCCAAATTACTCCAGCTTTGGCCATTGATACCCCTTTGTGCATTGATTTGACATATTCATTATTGTTTTTCTTTGTCATATATATGTACATGCTAGGGTCTCCAGTGCAACTTAGGCTTTAAGATTTATACATCACAGACTCAGGAATTCCCTGAAGGAAATCCGACCCTGCACATTGCCTGGCTTCAGTGACTTTTCTCATGTCTCTTGCATTCTACAGGCCTGCAACACCAGCACTCAGGGTACAACCTCAGATTCCGCTGCCAGCATGCAATGTCGCCTGGTGCCCGTGGGCCAGAATTGCCACAGCCTTTGGGTATTTTGATGGCTGGACATGGGAAGACATTTTCTAGGCAGTCCTTTCCCATCAGGGCACCACTTCGGTTAGCATAGTTATGCCCTAGAGCCTATGATGGGAGAAGGGTCTCACCTTCAACATAGTTTTCCTTTGGTCTTAGTACGAAGTACTTGGACTCTCTTTAATGACACTAATCTCCATAGCAACTCCAGTCATTTTATCCTCACTTGCATTGTCTGACTTTAGCCACTTTCAGGCTCCTCTCTTCACCAAACTACATGATGTTCAGTTTTCTCCACTCTGTTCTTGGCTCTCTTTTCTTAGTGAAAAGCTGACTAAAAGTAACAAGCAACAACCATGCCACAAGCTACATGTTATGCTATCTTGACATCCTCCGTGTTTCTATCAGCATTCTGGTCCTCAAACTCCCATCAGAATGGCCTATTCATTCCTGCTAGTAACCCTCTAGGGTTTCTCTAGCCTGCATCTCCAAACTTTCCCACCATCTAGTTCCCACAGTTGAACACAGCAACGGAACACTTCTCTGATGCCAAGTCTCTGTATCAGTTCCTTTTTCATTGCTCTGACTAAATATCTGACAGGACCAACTTAATGTATGGAGGATTTATTTTGGCTCAGTTTCAGAAGCCATCCACCAGAGAGGGAAAGGCAGTTCAATCCCTGCCTGTGGAAGATTGTGAGAACTCTCACACGGTGTAGACCAGGAGGCAGAAAAGCAGACCAGAATGAGGGGCAGGTGTATCCTTCAAAGGCCGATTCCTAGTAACCAACTCTGCCAGCCAGATGTCACTTCCTCAAAATATCATCACAAGCTGAAGAGCAGCCATTCAGGACATGAGCCTGTTCTGGGCATTCCAGAGTGAAGCCATAACAAGTGCTTGAACACAATTCATTTTGCCTTTCATTTCATAGACTTCATTCGTCAACCAAGTGACTTAAGTCAGCAATGTTTTCCTCTGGCCCCTTCACTGTGATTTTTACATACATTTAAATAATACTGTGTTGGGGGTGAGGGGTGCTGGAGAGATGACTGAGCAGCTAAGAGCACTGGCTGCTCTTCCAGAGGAGACAGGGTAGGTTCCCAGCACTCACAAGGTAGTTCACATCCATGCCTGACTCCAGTTCCAGGGGATGTGATGGCCTCTTCTGAACTCTGGGGCACCAGGCAAATACTTGACATGTGCAGGCAAAACACTCATACACACAAAATAAATAAATTTTAAAAATATTAAGGATTATATTGTTTTGTTACATTGTATAATAAGTCTTTGGTCTTTTGAATGACTTTTAACATGTGATACTTTAAGATCAGCTCTGTACTACTTAGTTTAATAAATGCATGCCATCATGTACACAAACTTACAGCTATACACAATCGTTTTGTTGCTCTAAAATATCTTCTCTCCAATCCTCTGGAGCCCAGGAAACTGCTGACTCTTTTACCATCCCTGTTAGTGTTCCTGTTTCTAGATTAGCCCGTCTATGGGGTGGTGTGGTCTGTGGCCATTTAGATGACATCCCTTTACTTAGCAATACATACCGCAATCTAGCTTTGTCTTTTCATAGCTTGATGGTTCCTCAGGTTTTAAAAATCAGGAAATAACATTCCATTGTACACACAACTCACTATTTGTCTAGTTGTTTGCTTATTGCAGGACATTTTGTGGAAGTTTTCCCATGGCTTAAAGTATAAAAGTAAATTGCTGCAAACAGCAGTGTGCAGTTTTGCTCAGCTGTGTTTTCAACCAGTTGAGACATACCTGTAAATGCCATTGCTACACCCGCCTTGAGAGTGTACTTAAATGTTTGGGAAGAAACTGCCATGCTTTTCTTGCTAGCTAAGTGTTAGAAGCACAAGTTTCATTCATAAGCAGTGCCTGAAAACTCTGGTTCCACGTGTGGCGTGGCTTCTGACAGATGTAGGGCACCTCATGGTCGTTGTTCCTCTATCCACATAAGCGTTTGCTTTTCTTATATCTCTTTGATAAGGTGTCTATTTAGATTAAATTGTCTTCTTATCATAGAGTTTGCCAGTTCTCTGGATACTTTGGATATAACTCCTTTATCAGCCTGTGTTTTGTAAATATTTTTTCCTGCCCTGTGACTAGTCTTCTGGCCATCTTAATAGCAACTTCCAGAGAGAAGGTTTAATTGTAGTGAGCAATGTCTTCTTTCACAGGTGATGCCTTGGATGGACCTAATAGCTTGTCACCAAACCTTGAGTGGCTCTAAATACACTCTCTTACATAATCATTGCATCACTACTCTTAGGGACAGGACATTATCACCATTTTATAGGAGGAAGTTGTCTACCACATTTTTTTCCCTCTCAAGTACCTTTAAACATGCAAAAGACACCAAAAGAAAAAGGTAGTTAAGCCAGACGGTGGTGGCGCACGCCTTTAATCCCAGCACTCAAGAGGCAGAGCCAGGAGGATCTCTGTGAGTTTGAGGCCAGCCTGGTCTACAGAGCGAGATCCAGGACAGGCCCAAAGCCACACAGAGAAACCCTGTCTCAAAAAACCAAAAGAAAAGAAAAAAGTAATCAGCAGTGGCCTAAGACAGAGCCTGAATACCCAAGAGCATTTGCCTATCTCTTTCACTCGTAGCTGTATTTGCTGTCATGTGAATCGCATGTCATCATCTCTGAAGTACACATTCAGCCAAACACTGTCATTGTGCCTCTGTCACCACTACTGTTACCCCTGTCATCACACCATCACCATTCTCCCCCAGCCACCACCTCTGCCACCACCAGGATGCACACACACACACACACACACACACACACACACACACACACACATA